TGAGGCTGACCAGTGAAACTGTGCCTGCAAGCTTTATTCCTTTTAAAGTCTCTCACCCTGCGGAGTGAATGTGTGTGTCTTAGTCCGTTCTGTACTGCTGTAACAGTGTCGAAGACCTGGTCATTTTAAAGAACAGGATTATTTTCTTTTGGCTTTTTGGGACAGGATCTCAGTGTAGTTTAGATGGGCTTTGAACTTGCTACATAGCCCAGGTTGGTCTTGCAATCATGGCAGTCCTCTTGCTTCAGCCTTCTGGATGCTGGGATTACAGGCCTGTACCACTACACCCATCTCTAGAACAGAAATTTATTGGCTCATAGTTGTAGAGGCTGAAAGTCCAGGGACGGCCTCCTTGGTGGGTTTTGTTATTTGTTTTTTGGTACCAGGGATTGAACCTCGGCAGCAGAACCACTGAGCTAAATCCCCGGCCCATGGTGGGTTATGTTATAATGGAAGGTCAGAGAGCAAGAGAACACACACAGCAGAGCAAGAGAAAGGGAGATGAGTCATCCTTTCATGAGCAACACTCTCCCATGATACCCCGCCTCCACTCAGATGACAGTGCCATTAACACATTCCCGCTGGTTTGAACCACTGTGCATGACCATCCCATGCACAGTTGGGCAGCTTGTACCAACAGACCTAAGCACTCATATTAGTCTTTTACCAACAAAATAATAAAAAGCAGCCCAATGGGACAGTTGTGCATTTACAAGCCCTCCAGCTGGGAGACATAAATGACAACCCACGCAAACATGACTGTGTCAATCCATTTATGTGGCACAGCCCTGGTGGCCTAACTGTCTTCTTCAAGTTCCAACCTCTCCAAACTGTTGCACTGGAGCTGGAGTGTTCAGCCCGGGGACTTTGGGGACATGTTGGAGCTGCAGCAGTGTGCTGTGATGTTCCACATGGAACAGCAGTGTTCCGCTGGGCGGGGGAGCAGGGCATGACCAAGAGCTCATCGGGTGCCATCTCAACAGGACTGTCTGAGACAGGCAGTAGCCAGCGAGGGTGCCTTCCTGCCTGTACCCCTCCACACCCCTGACCCTGGTGCGCTTGGTGCCCTCGTGATTCCTAGCCTTGTGTCTGCCCTGTGTATCTTAACACGTTTGTAGTATCTAGCTCACTTCAGCATTTGCATGCAGTATATTTTGATCTTAGTCTCAGCTCCTGCTTAGCCTGTGCTGTACATTCATTGGTGCAATGGGTTATGATCCCAAAATATGTGATAGCTGAGAGGCCAGGCTCGGTTTAAATTTGGTTTCCCTCAATGACTGTGAAAGGTGTTAGCATCAAAATGGCATCACTTAGGTCAAGCCTAACAAAATGGTTCCTTCTTGTGGAACTCTCACGTCCATGTTCCTGTGACAAGCCTCACTGCAAGGAATTCCTCCAGACTGCAATATTCCAGATCAGCCTTTTACATGTGGGCTCTTGCCTGACACTGGTGGTCTCTGCCAAAGAGTTAACATCAGCTCTTGCCATAAGCCCTTAGAACCAATGCTTTGTTTCAAAACAGCCTGCATGGATGTCTCTTTTTTTTCATTCATTCATTCATTCATTCATTCATTCATTTGTTCGTTCATTCATCCATGCTCCTGGGGACTTAGCTCTTTTTTTCTTTTAAAAGCTTCCTCTTGGAGCTAGGCCTATAGCTCAGTGTGTCCTTAACATGTGCAATGCCCTGGTGTCCATCCCCAGCAACCACTAAAGCCAAATGTAGAGTTTCCTCTTTCCCCATCCTCTTCTGAGGCACCATTGGTCCACCCTCGCATGCATAGCCCAGATTGCAGTCCCTCCCAGTTCCCAGATAAACCCTCCGTTTAGGGAGTTGGTCTCTCTGCTGCTCAGGTCAAGTTGATACGCCTGTGTGACTCTGAGATTTTGCTAGGGCTCAGTCCCTCCGCTGAGGAAGGTGCCATCAGAACGCAGCCTGCCTCTTCTGCTTGTCCTGAGGGTAAAGGAAGCCCTTGGTGCTGTACTTTTCAAGGCACACTGTAAACTCTGCCATTCCTTTATCCTACTTGGTGCAGTCATTTTTAAGCCCTTGTGTTACCTCAGCATCCTAGATCTAAGCATCTAAATTCAAGATCACCTTGCTACCATAGACCACAGAAACTTAATCTTCAAGGCTTGGGTGTTGGACCACATATGCTTAACAGGTCTCATAAACACCGAGATCTGGTGTAGAGAAATGGCATGGAAACAACAGAGGTCTTGGGAGCCCCACCATAACTCAGGATAGAAGCTCAGCCCTTCTTGTCCACCGACCCCACAAACCCTATAGACCCCACTATTTCCACACAACAATGAATAATCCCCATCGACTTTCTTTTGTCTCTGTCATAAGTTTCACTCTTGATTCTGATTCTCCTCATCTCATTTATGCCTCTCTCCTCTCTTCCCACGTTCTCTTCTTTCTTCCTTTTTTGGGCAGTGGTTTTCTATTTCATCCCTTACTTTCTCCTGTAAATCGTCTCCTATTTCCCTTATTGTAAAACCGGTCTTTTAAAAAATAAATAAATGAAAGCTTTTCCCATCTCTTCCTACCAGCCATGCCACACTCGGGCTTGGACCATATTTCTATGTTCCCTTATTACAAGTGCTTAAGAATTAGATGCATGTTGCCTCTTTGAAGCCCTGTGAATAACGGACCCTCGGTAGCTCTGTACCTCGCCTTTTGCGCCTCAGAGCAGTCTCCCCCTGTAGTCCTCTCCGGGTCTGGATCGTAGATGATGCCAGCCAAGTTCTGCCCCTCTGACACGAATGTGTCCTGGGCTTCCTTCGGGCCTGGGCTACTTTTCCCAGAGAACCCTCCGTAGCGTATGTGTTATTTTTGGACTCGGGTCTTCCATGACCTCCCAGCACAGGATTTATGTCTGTCTGCATCTGAACTTCAAAGCCTTGGCCCCACAGTCTCCTCTTGCTGTTTTCCGTGGAACCCCTCGTCTCCCGGCTTGGTTGTTGCTCCAGGCGTGGGGGGCAGTTTGTCTGCAGGGGGTAAGCCACGTCCCGTCAAGGGAGCTTTAAAGGGGACAGGCTGAGTGTGGCCCCCACAGGCTCTGCCGAGCAGCTGAGTAAACTGCTTTTAGCTGTGCCTACTGTTTATTTTTGGGAAAGATGACAATAGAGTTCCCTTCTAACGCAAAGTAGCTGTGCGAGCAGGAAAAATGGCCTGTCCCCGTGGAAGAAATCTGAAAATTTTCACTTGGATGATCCACTGGCCTCATAAAAATAATTCTCAGACTAGAAATGAATCTAGCGAGCAGGAAATGGCCTGTCCCCGTGGAAGAAATCTGAAAATTTTCACTTGGATGATCCACTGGCCTCATAAAAATAATTCTCAGACTAGAAATGAATCTCATTCATTCATCACAGGCTGCCTTTGGTAATTTCAAAAGGGGGTGTGTCGATATGGGCGACTTCTTGACTCAAATCTAAGTCCCTTCACCTGTTCTTTCCCTAAGTTCTCTCCTCTGTGAGCTTGTGATCCTGGCTGCACACATGAGCCTCAATTTCTTCAACTGCAAAACAGGTAATGTTATGTTACCACGTTTCCCCGAAAATAAGACCTAGCTGGGAAATCACCAGCCTTGAAAACGAGAGGTAGAAAACGCCAGCCTCAGTCAGCACATCCCGACCTCACAGAGCAGCCACCAACCAAGAGAACAGTTCAGGCAGTGAGGGATTTTTCAGCGGTTTGGAGTACGTCCCATCCCACAAGGCTGGGTGTGGCATTGTGGTGAGGCTCACGTTTTAGATTTTGGAGCATCTTGGCTTCTGAAGTTTCAAATGAGCCTGTATTTAATGCTAATGATATTTTTATCCCTGTAAGATATTGCAGCAAAATACTTCCAGCATCTGAAGATTTTAATTTCTTTGTGGCCAAGCCATAGCCCTCCCTGTGGTGAGAATCCCGGGCCACTTCTTTCCAGTGTATGGGCCTGGGGGTGTGAATTGAGGTTCAGACTGGTTCTGAAACAGTGGCAGATGACCTCTGATGACAAGTGAGGGGACAGAAAGAAGCCCACACACCATCTTTCTGTAAGTCCTGGGGTTATGTTGGTCAAAAAGTAAAAATATAAAAATATTCTGTGTGAGGGCTCATGTCTGTGATCCTAGCTCCTTGGGAGGCTGAGGCAGGAAGATTATTTGAGGCCAGGAGTTTAGAGCCCACCTAGGCAACATACCAAGACCATTATCTCCAGAGAGGAGAGAGAGATTGATGGATTCTCTTTGATGCTCAGTGGAAAGTAAGTGCTCAAAGTTCCCCAACAGTGGCTCACAATTGTGCTAGAATGAGCTTTAAGAATAACTGAACTGCCGGGTGTGGTGGAACATACCTGTCATCTCAGCACCCAGGAGGCTGAGGCAGGAGGGTTGCTGCAAGTTAGAGGCCAGCCTGCGGTCCATAGTGAGGCTAAACACAAAAGACTGAACAGACACCCCTCATTATATATTCTGCATGAAAAATTCTTGTCACTCACCCCAGGTCATGATTCAGTGGGCTCCCTTGGAAGAAAAGAGCAGGTGACCAAGAAATGTGATGCTGCTCCTTGTCTCTCCTGACTTCACTGGCACTAACATGATGGTTTCCAGGTCCTAATTTTAAAAAATGATTTTTAATCAAGACACAATTTTCTAAATGCTCCATGGATCCCGATTTTAATCTTAATCCTGCTCCTACTTTCCTCTTTAGAGGTCGCCAGCCACAGAGTAAGCTATAAACAGCTGCATTCAAAAGAGAGAATGTAAAGAAGCAGTGAAATAAAACGAGTAAAGATTGAACAACGATACGATACTGATTTGCTGTTTGCCCCGATTTCAGAAAGGATCTGAAAGGAGCGGCCGTGGCCAGGCTTTGGGGGAGATTGCAGGACCCCCCTCTCGCTGTGCGCCATCCGCCGCCGGGGCCGCAAAGGGCTGACTTTGGTGTTTTCCATCCCAATGCCGGGCCGGCAGATGGGGACCCACGGTGCCTCGTTTTCTCCTTTCAGAGACTCCGACCTGTTTTTGTTGGACACCCGAGTCGTGTGGGCTTCGGAAGAAGGCTGGCTGGAATTCGACATCACGGCCACCAGCAACCTGTGGCTGGTGACGCCGCAGCACAACATGGGGCTCCAGCTGAGCGTGGTCACGCGGGACGGTGAGCTGGGGCTCGCACACCCCGAAAACTGTCTGGGGGTGCTGTGGTTCACGTCCCCTCCTGCCGTCCTGGAGGCCTGGGCTCCAGGGTGACCTTTTACTGTTCCCTGGCGGCTGCCATTGGAAACCAAAGCCCTTCTAGCAGGGGCGCGGGGGACAGAGGCAGGGGGTTAGGGAGGAAGGAAGGCGAGAGCCGCCAGGTGAACCCCTGGCTCCCCCTCCTCCTACAGTCGCAGAGCTCAGGGTCCTCACGTGCAGTCCACTCGCGGACTGGGGAGAAAGAAGATCAGAGGGAAAGAGGTGCAAGGAGGAATCAGACCCGCAGAGCCCGGAGAGCCCCGGAGACCCCCGCTCCTCCCCAGCCCAGTCCTCTGAAGGCTGCTGCTGTCCCGGGTGGCGGCGGGACTCAGACTCCGTGTTCTTGTCTGCATTTCAGGGCTCCATGTCAACCCCCGCGCCGCGGGCCTGGTGGGCAGAGACGGCCCCTACGACAAGCAGCCCTTCATGGTGGCCTTCTTCAAGGTGAGCGAGGTCCACGTGCGCACCGCCAGGTCAGCGCCGGGCCGGCGCCGCCAGCAGAGACAGACCCGCAGAGCCCGGAGAGCCCCGGAGACCCCCGCTCCTCCCCAGCCCAGTCCTCTGAAGGCTGCTGCTGTCCCGGGTGGCGGCGGGACTCAGACTCCGTGTTCTTGTCTGCATTTCAGGGCTCCATGTCAACCCCCGCGCCGCGGGCCTGGTGGGCAGAGACGGCCCCTACGACAAGCAGCCCTTCATGGTGGCCTTCTTCAAGGTGAGCGAGGTCCACGTGCGCACCGCCAGGTCAGCGCCGGGCCGGCGCCGCCAGCAGAGTCGCAATCGCTCCACCCAGGCCCAGGACGTGTCCCGGGTCTCCAGCGCTGCGGGTAGGTGAGAGCGCAGCCCCGCGGCCTCCTTGAGAACACAGCTCGGCGCAAGGTGGTGGCCCCAGCTGTCCCGTCACAGTCACGGGCATCTAAGTAGCTAAAGACCCCGGCCACAGGCAGCCTGACTGCTCTGTACCAGATGAGCATCTGTTTGGCTAGATTTGCCCAGCTCCTTTTCAGTTCCCCTCAAAATCATGGAAACGTTTCCACTTTTATTTCCGGTTGCATTATTAAATCCCGCGGGCGGTACTTTCTGAAGTACTTGGGGCCAGAAGTGTTTCAGATGTTTTATCTTTTCAGACTTTGGAATATTTGCACCTAAGTAACGAGATATTCTGGGGGCAGGAGCTGACCCTAAATGCAAAGCTTCCTTGCGTTTCACTGACGCCTTGGACCCAGCCTGAAGGTCATGTGCACAGCACCTGGGTTGTGACAGTGACCCACCACGCGAGGTCAGGGTGAGGTTTTCCTACTTGTGCCATCATGTTGGCACTCAAAAGGTTTCACATTTTGGAGCTTTTCAGTTTTTCGATTTTCCCATTGGGCTGCTGAATGGGTGCACAGTAACCTCATGTGTTTGTGTAACGTGGACTTGTGTTTATCAGAGCTCTTGGGTGGAAGTAACGGAAAGTCAACACCAGCAGCCCTGGAAAATGGATTTTACTGAACTGGGCAGTTCAAGCATTCTGGCTTTGGGCCTGGCTGCATCCCTGGGCTCAGATGATACTAGGAATCTCTCTCTCTTCTTTCCTATTTTCCTTTGTTGGTGGCATTCTCAGAAAGACTGTGTGGTGGCAGGAGAGCATCCCACAGTTCCAGGTTTTGTCACCTTGGCAATCTCGACTGCAGATGGACAGCCCCCCTTTCACTGCAGTTCTGGCAGAAAGCAGGGGCCTGGCCTGCATCCTGAGCCCTACCCCATGGCTCCTCGATGCCTAGGAAGGGATATGGCTGGCCAGGCCACATTGTGTGCGTGTCTCTAGGGCAGGGATGACTCAGCCTCCTTATACCTGGAACCAGCTCATGCATAGGGCGAGAGAGAGGATGAAGCCCTCCTGCCTGGGTCTGGGACCCTTGTCTGTCCTGCCACCCTGCAGGAGGGGTGGGGCACCCCTGTGGTGACAGGCAGAGGGGAACAGATCTTCCCTCCTGACAGACATCCATGTAGCCATTAGGTAGAAGTGAAGTCAGACCCCTGCAGTTCTGGCTCCCCAGCAGTGCTTGCCAGTTCTGGGTTTCCTTTGCCACTTCAGTAGCCTGGGGACCAAAAAGGAAGCGGGAGTTTTGGTAGGATTTGCAGTTGGAGAACTTGTGCACCTTGTTGCTACCTTTTGACTTTGGATGAACCTAGTCTTTTCAGAATCAGTTCTCCTTGGTAAAGCCGGAGCGATGAGTGCCTTGAAGATTGGTTGGAATTAAATGAAATTCACTTCATCTGGCTCAAAATAGCATTCAAAGACTTGTTACAGCCAATCATAAAAAGTAGGTGTGTGTGTGCCGGAAGTGAAATACCACTGGAAGATGCATTTATTTTTCCAGGTGGCTTTTTATAAATGTCACTTTCATCGCCCAGAAGGAGTAAATGTAACTCTCCAAGGTGCCTGATTTTTCTTTGGGAAGAAGTATGTCTTAAATCTTAGGTCCCAACTTTATGAGCTGTCTTTTTCTCTGATAACTTGAGATCCACTACCCTGTGTGACGTGACATTGTGTTTCGTGGGGTCTTCCTGGTGTTTCTCGGGACCCTTGTGCAATACGGGTGTTCCTGTGTTTACTACTACAAACAGTCTGGGCTGGGGCCTTAAAAAGAAGGAGGCGGAGAAGTGCCTGCTCGCTTTTATTCACTTTGGAGGCAGCTTGCGGAACGGAGCTAATAATCTGTGGCTCCCTCTGGGGCGTCTCACCATGGTGGGCTTGAAGTCATTCAGGACCTGTGGTCAGTCGGCTCTGGGACCTCAGACATGGAGGCATCTCTTGAAATGCTGATTGCTTTTTAAAATTAAAATCTCACTTGATTACTTCAACACCAACCCCACCAACCCAGTATGTATGCACACCAACTTCTCATAATTGAGAAAACATGTTGTCGCTGATTTGGGTTTTAGCAATGTCACCCAATTATTATTTTCCAAGTCTCTTTCAACTGTTTTTTTTTTCCAACTTGAATCAAAATTAAATATGGGCCTTAAAGTTGATCTAAGTTATAATAAGATGCAAATGTCTCTGTTTCATTTTGATCTCCCCACCCCCTACCTCCCAAGCCAGGACTTCCTGATTGCCTTTGCTCCTTTTAGCAGTCCTAGGGCAAAAGAGTTTATACCAAATCCCTGTGACCCCACATATATGAAAGTCCCCAGGAAGTATTGTAATCCATGATCCTCCCTTCTCGCTGTCTTTTAAGACCAAGCCAGTGAGGAGAAGTTGCTTTCATTTGGCCCAAGGTACTAATTTATGTATTTGGCTCTTTATTCTTCTGTAAAGGGGAGTGGATATGCAGAAGGAGAGATTTCTCTCCAAGGAGGAATTTCCAGAAAGCTGGATACCTGAAGAAACCAGCGTCATGTCTTAGTCTCTCCTTCCAGGGCCAAGCCACCACAGGTTGCTGCGCCTTTGAGAACCAGGCCGATGTGGCTGATACAGAAAAGTGTGGTCGCTGGTGTGACTCCAGCCTGCTTTCCCCTTGTAAATCTCTCAGAGGGTTGAAGGGAGAAAGTGGGCTCCCAGGGAACTGCTCCTTCTCCACCAAACCAGGTGCTTTCAGAAAAAGCCCACCAGGGATCGTCTTGCCTCTGCGTAAAGAACTTCACGTCATTTATCAAGTTGCCTGGCATCAGGGCAAAGCGTGCAAAGGAACTCAGTGGCTGCTTTGGGACCTGAGCTGTGGATGCCCAAGACCCAAGTAGTCCACTCCAAGGGAGGAGCCAGGAGCCCTTCTGCCACCTCCCCGCCACCCAAGGTCTATACCAACCTTTGCAGTTGGCTTTCAAGCTGGACTTTGCACACTTGTGCCTTCGCCAGTGGGTTTGGACAGTGTGGCAGGGCCACTCTTCTCCTGTGCAAATACTTGGCCTCTGGACAGCATTGTGGGTTCTGCACGTCTGACAGGTGCTATGTACTCCTCTCACCCTGGGGCTTCCAGTGACTGGTGATTCTTTTTCAGCCTCAGTTTCTAACCATCTTCTGCATTTGTGACACCTGCCCTTGGGCTCTTCAACTCTACTTTAGGCATCTCTTTCTACCTGCTGCCCTCCTCCCTCATTTATGTCTCTCTCTTGGACTCAGACCCTGACTTAGGAACCAGTTCCATTCTGGAAGTCCGTTTGATTCTGGAAGTCAGTTTGCTTTGTAAGTTCAACAAAATGAGTCTTATACACCTTTGACACAAATATACAATATAGCATTAAAAAACAAAACACAAAAATACTGTAAACCTTTTACAGTTACCTTAAAACAGTGGTATAGTACAGTACAACAGCTGGCATATAGAGGATTACGTGGACTGAACAGACAAGGACAGTTACTCACTGGAGGAGGGAGGGTAGGTGGGGGCTGAGGCATCATCAGCAATAGACAGAGAGAAAGGTGGAATTTCGCTGCCACCGGATCCTAGGTCACTGGATGACACTCTATGGCTGCTGCAACCTTTGTGTGTCATTCTACATGGGGGTCCTATGCCACAAAAACTAACAGTGCCTCTTGAAGTAAAGAAAATCCTTTGCCATGTCCTGTGTTGTAAATCTATTTGATTCTTTGGTTCCATCTTCCTCTGAGCTCTCCTTGTCTTTTCACTGAGCTCTAAGCCCAGCAGGACCTCATTACTAACACCCAGGAGTTCAGGGATGTTGTCCTCCTGCAGATCCAGCTCCTGCTTCTTGCTCGGGGTCACTAAATTGTTGAAGACCTCTTTGGACTCCTCACCCATCTTCTCAGGTTCATGAACTTCATGAACAAACTGCGGCAGAGGTTCCTCCCAGCCCCATTCATGGCGACAGCTAAAACTTCAAGCAAAACCGATGTATTTTATGGGCTTGTGGATGTTAATGTCCTTCCAAAATTGTCATGAGGTTGATCCAGCTGCCTTCACTGCCTGACAAAAAGTGGGTCATAAATAGTATTTCATGAAAATTGCAATGTCTCCTTGGTGCATAGATTGGATGGGCGAGCATGGTAGGTGGAGGACTTTGATGTTGGGATGAGAGTCATCCATGAATTGGGGGTGCCTTGGTGCACTGTCAGGTAGCAAAAGAAAGTTGCATGGGATAGCTTTCTCCAAACAGTATTTCTCTGTCTTTGGGATAAAGTGAGGGAAAAACCAGTCCTGGAAAATGGCCTGTGTAAGCCAGGCTTGAAGTTAGTCTTCCACACAACAGGTAGAGAGTCCTTGGCTATGTTTTTGAGGGCTCTTGGGCTCGCTGGGTGGTAAACTAAGAGAGACTTTAGTTTCCTATTACCAGAAGCATTGCCACCAACCCACAGACCAAGTCTGTCCTTTGCTGCTCTGGAGCCTGGTGTCAACTTTTCCTCTTTCCTGAGGAAACTTCCTTCTGGCATCCTCTTCCCGTACAGTCCTGTCCTATCGATGTTCAAAGCCTGTTGGGGTAAACCAGTGTCTTCATCAGTAATTTCTTTCAGCATTGCTGGAAATTCTTAGGCAGATGTGGTCTCTGCACTTGTAGCCTCACCACTTACTTTTACATTGTGGCGGTTGGCTCTCGCCTTGAAACTATTAAACCATCCATGGCTGACAGGAAAAGACATGCCCTGTTCACCCCATTTTTTTCTTCAAGCTTCACACCATCTTTTACCTTTTTCTTGCATTAGCATTAAACTGAGTGGGACTCAGTGCCAACCCTGATCTTGCACCCACACACTGAGAAGTTTCTCCATGCCCTCTGTTACTACCAAGCTTTTTGGATATTATTGACCTCACTGACACATGTTCCATGGTCTTCTCCTTGTTCTTTAGAATTATTCCAGTGGTTGGACAATTTATGTTATAAG